CAAGGACATGACTTTAGTGGCAACAGGAACGCCCCCCAGAGGAAGTCAACTCTGAGCCACGTTTTGGGATTGGATAAAAATCAGCCAGGCAAGAAAGGCATAGTGAATAGCATGAACAAAATAAGAAAGCGAGGAGCAGCCGTGTGGGCGTGGGTATGGAGGGCCAGGCCATGTTATTAGAACATAAATTCTGAGGCTGGACAGCTTTGCCCGGGCCAGAAGCAGAATGAACTCCTGTGATTACCCTCGGAATACATCTATGCTGCTATTGATTCTGCACCTCATTCATTATTGAGAGACAGTAAAAGGGAACTTGCTTTACGAATGATTAATTCAAGATTTCCTTTCCTTTGGAAGTCTTTCCTTTTAAAGTTTGGAAGCACATGCACCTCTGTGCCAGGGGAAGAAAGAGAGAGTGCCGGTCAACCTGCCTCTGAGTCTTGCATGTGTCTATAGAACAGCTCACCGAGGTGGGGCCTTAAGGACACAGGCGCTCCTAGGGATAAGGGAAACAGGGACATTACTTAGGCCCCTTTCTCTATGTAGGTCTGGAAGCATTTAACATGTGGTCAGCCTCGGCAAGAACCAAGCATATTCTTACTAGGATTGCGGGGGCCTGGTTAATAACATAAGCTCAGCCCTTGATCTGATTGAGAAATTTGAAGAAAAAAAAAAAAGAAATACTAGCAAGGCTGATGAGAGACCAAACTATGACCCTTAATTAGGCTGATAGTGCAGGATGTGACTTATCCTGGGTGAGTGGAGTCCCTGGTACTGAAGTGCCTTCACACGCAGTCGGCGCCAGGCTGGTCTGAGGTAGGCCTCCCCATGAGGCAGTCCTGTAAAACTGGAAACTCTTATGTCCTGGACCTGCTTAGATCAATAGGTGATTTTTGCAGGCCAGTAGTTCCAAATAAAAAACCAAGAAGAGAGCCAGCAGCAGGTGGTCACTTTCTTCCTCTGCATTTATCCACAACAGCACTTTCTGCACAGCAGGCCTTGGCCAGCAGAGCTGGACTCACTGACACCAGCCAGTGTGGTCACCCAGGCCTTCTGCTCAGGAAGGCCCCACACTTGGGGCATCAGGGTCTGCAGGTGCTGTCTTGAATTTTGGGATAACTCTATGTTGAAACTTGTGTTTCATAAGGGCAGTCCAATGGATACGGCAGCATGTTCTGGCTTCAGAGCCTCAGCTCACAGGATAATGACTCCTGTCACCTTCCTGCCTCCTGGAATGGGCTCTCAGGTGCCTGAGCACCCTGGTCCCTAAGGCCCCGTTCTCAAAGTGTCCCATCCCCCCACGACTGTTGCCACCTCCTGGCCCTGGAATCTTGGGTGGGACATGGCAGTGTCAATTTCTTCCCTGGATGGGGTGCTAGGGTGTGTTTTGGGATCAAGCATTAGGAATGATCCTGTAATCATCCCGAGTCCCAATCCTCTTGTGAAACTTGAAGGGTGCTTGTCACTGTGGCTTGGGGTGATGCCCATGGGAATGAGGGGGTCATGTGGCTCTACTCCCCTGGGACCTTAGGTGATGTTGCCCATGAGCCCTTGCCCTCCACTGTGCCCTCACAAACGCCAGCTAAAGACTCCTTAGGAACACGAATCTGATGTTCTTCTCCCACCTCTTCACTCACCACCCTGCAATCATTAAACTTGTTCTCTGCTGCAGACCCTGTTGTCTCAGAGTGTTGGACTATTACTACACACACACCTATTTGTCCTATAATGGCCAGAAATGACCGTGAGATTCTGACTTCTCTGGAAATATGAAGAAATTCAGGAAATGGCATTGAAAACTGTCTACCAGGTCTGCACTCAAAGGCTAAGCCAGTTTCTCTAGGCTATTGTTGATATCTGGATTGCAGAGAAAGTGAAATGTATCCAGTAAATGCATATTGCTATTCAAATGGGGACTCGAGAAGAGCTGATCAATCTTTAAGTTGGTGATGTGAACAGGTCCACTATTGGGGAGCCACACAGGCTTTGGACTAGCCTCTGTCCTTCCTATGTGGACCATTTGGTGGGTATCTGCTGAGGTCCCCAGTGAGACTTGCACCTGATGGGCCCAGCGCCCTTGTTTTCCTCAGTCCCCATCCCAACCTGTGCTGAGCATTGGTGTCCCGTGCTTAGGGTTCTGCTCTTGCAGCCTGGCCCCTTTCTATTAGGTGCCTCATCCTGTAGGGAAAGGCTCCATCAGCTCAAGTGACGTCTCTATTGGAAATTTCATTTGGCCAATACCGATGGGCGACAGCCCAGGTCACAAAAGTTATGGCCCAATTAAGCATGATCCAGTCCAATCCCCTAAGTACCAAGGAATCCAATGGCTCTTATCCCCAAAGCTTGCAGCCACATGTCCTGGCCAAGCCAAGACATTTCCCTCTCTTTTTTTTAATACCTAGAATCTGATGTTATCTTTATTTCTAAAAGCTCTTTGCCAGAGCACTCAGATTTTTCCTCAATTTCAGCACAGAACTGAAATTGCATGAATCAGGGAGACCTGAAACAGCACCAGCTCTTCTGCTTCAGCCCAGCACAGAGAGCAAAGCACGGCCCCTGGTGAGCACCCAGCTCCTGGGAGAAAGGAAAGTGGAGCTGCCTCTCCCTCACTTCTCCCCTCTTCTTTCCTGAAGGTGGTGGAGGGGGAGCAGGGATATGAGGGCTGCAATCGTGAATTTTCTTGTATCAACCCAGTCATGGTGCCCAGATGTGTGGTTAGACAACATGCAGCATGTGCCCGTGAGGGAGTTTTCAGATGAGACTCACATTAACGTCGGTGCACTTTGAGTGAAACAGACTGCCCTACCCAGTGCATCCAACAGAAAGAAAGGCTCATCGTCCGCCTTGTAGATTTTGAATTTCTCAATCTCCGTAGTCATATGAGCTAGTTCCTTAAAATGTATAAACCTCTTTATATAAATATATACACACACACACACATATACACACATCTGTATATATATACATATGCTATATGTAGAGGTTTATACATTTTATTTATATATATACACATTATACACAAAGATGTTTGTACATTTTATTTGTATATAAATTTTTTATATGTGTATATATATAAAGAGGTTTATACATTTTATATGTATGTGTGTGTGTATATATATATATACATGTGTGTATATACACAATACACACACATATATAGCACATCCGATGGGTTCTGTTTCTCTGACTAATATGAGAGGGCAGGGCTGTTAAGCTAATGCCTCTCCCTGTGTACCGAGAGAGAAGTTCAGTCTCCTTACGCTCCTGCTCCTCCAAGAGAAAGTATCCACATCCAGGATTGTCAACTTCCTCAAAAACAAGCAAATCAGGAGAAAAAGCAACAAAATACAAGCCAGAATAAAACCAAAACTGATGAAAAACTCGTCATTTATCATCAAACAACGTTAACACATGAATTTCCCACAGTTTTTCTGATAAAAAGAATAAGACGATCATCCTATAGTTTTTAACATGCATAAAAATGAGGTCTGTAATACTCTGGATGAAGGGAACTACTACTAAATTTCCACAGACCTCAGGTAGGGTGACTATAACTCACTCGGTATTGCAACTTAAAAAAAATATGTACTAGGCTGAGCACGGTGGCTCATGCCTATAATCCCAGCGCTTTGGGAAGCCAAAGCAGGCAAATCACAAGGTCAGGGGTTCAAGACCAGACTGGCCAACATGGTGAAACCCCATTTCTACTAAAAACACAAAAAAATTAGCTGGGTGTGGTGGCAGGTGCCTGTAATTCCAGCTACTTGGGAGGCTGAGGCAGGAGAATCACTTGAACCCGGGAGGCAGAGGTGGCAATGAGCTGAGACTGAACCACAGCACTCCAGCCTGAGTAATAGAGTGGGTAATAGAGTGAGACTCTGTCTCAATAGTGTGTGTGTGTGTGTGTGTGTGTGTGTGTGTATAAAATTACTGAGGCAATAATATACTATAAAATAATATATTATAAAAACATAAGATTAGTGGTCTGCAAAGGGCCCACCCTGCTTCCTTCAGTCCATTCTAGACCCCCCTAGTCCCCATCCAGTCCCCATTACCGCTGGCCTCACACATGCATCAGGCATCTGGCGGGCACCTGTGGGTGCAGCCTCGTCCCCCTAATCCAGCCATCCCACCATTAGCTTTGCGGTCTTTCCAGACCACGGATCTTGCCACACAGCTTCAAGCAGCCCTGACCCCAGGCTAGGATGCCTCCAGTGCCTTCAGGATGGAAACCCTAAGTCCTTTGCAGATGTCCAAGTCCTGCCTTCCAGTCACCAACAGTTCCCAGTGGGACCCTCCACTCTCTTTTCTCACCATTTGCCACCTTGAATTTTATGCCCCAGGCAATTGGAGCTATGAACTGCTGCCTTATATGAGCGTGTTTTTGGTGAGCACAGCTTCTCCGATGCTGAAGTTTCTCCTTGATGTTCCTGTCCACCTCCTACACGTTTTTAAAGCCACCTCCACATATCACCACCGTAAGGAAATGATCTTTCCATTCTGGATTAGCTCCACAGTTTTGAATCTATGCCCCCAACACCTATAAAACTATAAAAGACACGCAAAGGCGTTTACTAAGTTAACTGATGAATAGAAACAGAATAATTTTATTCTGCGTTGTTCAATACAAAGAAAAAATTAATTATTTGATTTAGAATCATCTATTAGCCAAAGACATTTTTAGCTTCTTTAAGTATAATTTGATATTGCTCCACGTATCTGAGAATTTCTCTGTGTAATGGGAAGAATTATTATTGAGTAGGAAAAGGAAACTGCCTTGGAGCTTACATTTGTCCTGGAAAAAAAGCATTTCAAGAATCATTATTCATACTGAACCATAAAATTATCATAAATGCAAGTCTTATTCAGGAAAGAAAAAAACAACTCTATTTAAAGAAAAATAAAAACAGCTGTTTCTTTGGAATTGTCTCACCTGCCCAGGACAATGGAACTTCTCTCTAGGCATCATCCTTCATGCCGTTATCAGATCAGTCTTTAAAGGTTAGATTTTTAAAAACCAGACACCTTCTTTTTGTTTTTCTTTTTAAAAGAATATTTCTTTGATTTTATTATTTACATAGCTGTAGGGGTACAAGTGGCATTTGGTTACATGCATGAATTGTACAGTGGTGAAGTCTGAGGTCTTAGCACACCCATCACCCAAGTGGTGGATACTGTACCCAACAGGCACTTTTCCTCCCTCAAACCCACGCCCTCCCCACTTCCGGGTCTCCAGTGTTCATTAACCACCCCATATGCCCTGGCGTGCCCATGGCTTAGCTCCCATGCAATGTTTGGTTTCCCTTTCCCAAGTTACTTCATTTAGAGAAATAGCCTCCAGTTCCCTTCAAGTTACTGCAAAAGACATTATTTCATTCTTCTTCTTCTTCTTTTTTTTTGAGACATAGTCTGGCTCTGTTGCCCAGGTTGAAGTGTAGTAGTATAATCTCAGCTCACTTGCAACCTCCGCCTCCGGGTTCAAGCAATTCTCCTACCTCAGCCTCCTGAGTAGCCGGGATTACAGGTGCCCACCACAGCTGGCTAATTTTTGTATTTCTATTAGAGACAAGGTTTCACCATGTTGGTCAGGCTGGTCTCAAACTCCTGACCTTGTGATCAGCCCCCCTCAGCCTTCCAAAGTGCTGGGATTACAGGCATGAGCCACCGGGCCAGGCCTGTTTCATTCTTCTTTATAACTAAAGAAGCAGTATTCCATGGTGTATATGTACCATATTTTCGTTACCACTCAACTGATGGGCAATTAGGTTGGTTCCATAAATGTGCAAAAGCAGGCATCTTAAAGGGAATACATGCAGTGAGTGTCCACCCCAGTTCACAACTGCAAAACAAAATACTCTAGCGTTATGAGTCAGAGACTCGGTCTCCATGCCTGATCCGCTTTGTGATACTGGAGAAGTCTCCTCCTTCCTGTTAGGCCAGGAAACTGAGATGGGGTAGAATATAAGGTCTTCGCTGGAAATATGCGTGAGATTTTCCTGACTTTGGAAAACCTGCTTTGTTTGTTTTTTTTCCAGAATGAGGTGTGATAATTCATAGCAATGAACAGCAAAATAACAAGTAGGAAGGAACCTGTTAGGAAGACTTCTGCGTTGCTTGATTCAAAGCTCGGGAGCTCTGCAGTACTGCTGCACTCCAGTAACAGAAATCAGCTGATTCAAACACACCTATTTATCCTGAAATCTAAAAGACAGAAAACCATTAGAAACACTTTATGCACCACACAGCTCACAAGAAAGCTCAACAGACGTCTCTCAACAGAATGTCTTACTTTTTCTGTTCTCTTATTGAGACTCATGTTTACCATTAGCAGATTATCCAATCATGTTGTTTTAAGCAATATTTGCTGCCAGCTATACATAAGTACTGTGAGGCAATCTGATAACAAGGCTAATAATAAAGAGAATTGACCTTGCAAGGCCCCAAAGTCTAGGGCTGGGGGTAGATAATACCTGAGCTGAACTTGAGAGGAATAACATCCCTATATTTTACAATCTATTGTCTGCCCACTTATTACTTTAAGATGGTTGCAAAGAAACCAGAAGCATTTGACAATCTCTGTGAAATATTGTATCAGATAGTGTTAGGTGAATACTCACAGGCAGTAGTGAGCAAGAGTCCACAGCAACTCACAGGTGGCAGCTGCTATCACTGGCTCACCCTAAATTTAAAGATGGTGCACTCCGCACCTGTGACTTTTGCTTCCTTGACGTTTACAGTTTTCTAAATGTAAGAGAAAACCAAATATTTTTTGTTTATAAGATTAATAACTTCTAAACATGTTTTGTGAAAATTGAGGAGGGATTTGGGAAGACAGATGTGTATATTCTCAGCATGTTGTAGCCTCCTGAGCACCTGAAAGTGAAGGTGAGAAGAAAAATCAGAACGTGTCTTTTATCATTGCTAATATCCACTTAAATAGATCAAGTGAATCTTTAAGTACATACGATGCTAATATTTTAATTCCTTTCAACATGTTTATTCTTAATCTTGGATTCCCGTGACGACTTAAAGAAAACCAGTGACACTTACTCAGTCTTGGAACCACCTAACAGATGGATTCAGAGGTTTGGTAGAGAGAGAGAAAAACATCAGCCTCATTACCGCTATGGGGGAAGATATGGCTGAGGATTGCAGTGCAGGGGCTTCTGAACACTGAGCCTGAGAACTGAGAGACCCAGCATCCCAGCCACAGGTCTCTGTGCTACCACTGGCCTCCCTTCCTGGAGCCTGGAATCTTTTTTTTTTTTTTTTTTTCTTGAGACGGAGTTTCGCTCTTGTTACCCAGGCTGAGTGCCATGGCGTGATCTCGGCTCACTGCAATCTCCGCCTCCTGGGTTCAGGCAATTCTCCTGCCTCAGCCTCCCGAGTAGCTGGGACTACAGGCGCACACCACCATGCCCAGCTAATTTTTGTATTTTTAGTACAGACGGGGTTTCACCATTTTGACCAGGATGGTCTCGATCTCTTGACGTCGTGATCCACCCGCCTCGGCCTCCCAAAGTGCTGGGATTACAGGCGTGAGCCACCGAGCCCGGCGGAGCCTGGAATCTTACTGTAAATGCATAAAAGTCAAGAGTCAAGGAGAAATAGGTTGCAGACAGGTGAATCCCAGAGAGAGGAGCATGCCAGCTTCTTCTCTCTGAACTTCCCACTCAGATAATCCTCTCCCTCTTCTGCCAGGGAAGGAACCGAGTGTGGAGGGAGGCTGGGATGCTGGCACCATAAAAGCTAAGGAGAGAAGCCTTCCTCTCCTGCAGCCGGTACTTGCCGCCAACTCCTGGACTTTCATTCCAGAGAGGATTGCTTGCATTTTCTTCCTGGAATTGTGGTATGCTCCAAATGCAAATAGTTATTGCAAACAGATTCAAAATGATGCATTTATATGCAATTTAACAAAGGCCAATGGTATTGTAGTACAAAGTCAATATAATATTGAGCAGAAAGCCAATTCAGAAAACGTTGACCAGAAAAATGGTACCCACACTGTTTATTAAGTAAATAACTATCATCCTGAGCTATTACCTGAGATGTGACATGGGATAATGAGATTTCTTTCAGGTGCTAGGGCTTGAATGTGTAGGTGGATAAATGTCAGTATTTTCAGGTGAATGGTAGTGGAGGGAACCTTGACTAATTCCATATGATAGATTTTAGAGTTTCACCTGGGAAGACAAAATAAATAGTTTTTTCATAGCTATTGTTGGAACAAATACTTAGATGCCAACTTATATACTAAAATAAACACCAAGTGGATGAAAGTGTAAAACAGTGAAAAGCTAAACTGCAATGTTGCAACAAGGCCTCTCAATTGGAAGTTCACAGAAATGCAGACCGGATCGTTCAAAAATGAAACGAATTTAAAAGTTCAAAACGAAAATGTCAAACTAAAATACTTTTACAAATGTAACATATACATTTAAAAAACAAAACGAATAACAGAGTTATGACAAAAACACAAACTAGGAAATACATGTGTACATGTAACAACCAGCAAATGTTAATATGTATCTTAGTTTCAAAACAGAAAAAGTCAAGTCTCCATATGACATATTTTCAAAGGACATAAAAACAATTCTCACAAGTGAAAATATGATTAGGTAGCATACATATACAACTGTTTGGACTCTGTAATAAAGACGAATTGAACTACTGTAATGCATGCTTTTATACTAGCTCATCAGTCGAGATTATTTTAATGAATCAATACTCGTGCAAACTGTCATGGCTTATACAGTTTTGCTTCTAAAAATAATACATGAAACTATGATTCTGCCCAAAGAGCTTGTCATACCTGTTTGGTTTGATGATTTCATGTTAAGAAACATAGCCGAGAAATGAAGTACATGATGACAGTTGAGAGCAGGAGTTCTGGGGCCAGACAACCTGTTCAAATTCTAGTTCTATCATTCAAAAACTACAAATAGCTAAGAAGTAAATGTTTGCTGAACAATAATACTTACAGTTGCATACTTATGTGACTGACCAATAATAAGATGATGTAGTATACGATGATGATACAGCCAATCAAAATAAACATTAAAAAGGTTTTGTCAAAAAACTATTCTATAATAGTAAATAAAAATAACAGATAAAGACAACATGTGTGCACATGATACACAGCATGATAGAAAATACATGCACATTTATGAGGTATTATTTTTAACTATATGAATGTCGAGCAATTTGTAATTAGGAGCTCTGAAAAAGTTTCTTAACAAAATGTAAGTTATAAAGAATTATAGGCCAGGTGCAGTGGTGGTTCACGCCTACAATCCCAGCACTTTGGGAAGCCAAGGAGGGTAGATAACCTGAGGTCAGAAGTTCGAGACCAGCCAGGTCAACATGGTGGAACCCCATCTCTACTAAAAATACAAAAATTAGCTGGGTGTGGTGGTGGGCCAATGTAATTCCAGCTGCTCGGGAGGGTGACACAGGAGAATCACTTGAACCTGGGAAGCAGAAGTTGCAGTGAGCCAAGATTGTGCCTGCCATTGCACTCCAGCCTGGAGGACAAAAGGGAGACTTCATCTCAAAAAAAAAGATGTATATGTTGCAGACAAGTCAGCCATTTATTTAACCACTATTGGATGTTTTCTAGTTCACACACTGCTTTCTATCAAGAATGCAAAATTGATTGTTGCCTTTAAAAGAAGATAGATGAGCAAAAAAATGCAATACCATCACATTTTTAAGTAGGTGCCTTTTGTGGGGACAAGGTGGATCAGAACATGGAGAGATTAATTCAAGGGTGAGGTCTCACGAGTGGCGGAACCTAAGCGGAGAGGACCCCACCGAGATGGACATGAGTGCAAACGGAATGACCAGTCCTTTTCAGGGCAAATAAAGACATTAAAGAAAAATAGAAGGAAATCCCAGAAAATTGAGAGAGAGAGAGAGAATAAAAGATTTTATTTTTAAAGTGTCTAAATATATCTGGATGATTTATTTCTTCTAAAATTAACACAAGTTTTGTATCATACTTAATACACTAACTAGTGCTCCCAGTAGAATGTTGTGATGCACTCCGGCTGGGAATGAAATGGTGAAACAGTAAAACTCTGGAGGCTGGGCACAGTGGGTCACACCTCTAATCCCAGCACTCTGAGAGGTCGAGGTGGGCAGATCATGGGTCAGGAGTTTGAGACCAGCCTGTCCAATATGGTGAAACCCTGTCTCTACTAAAAATACAAAAATTAGCCAAGAATGGTGGCACGTGCCTGTAGTCCCAGCTACTCGGGAGGCTGAGGCAGAAGAATCGCTTGAATCCGGGAGGTGGAAGTTGCAGTGAGCCGAGATCATACCATTGCACTCCAGCCTAAGCGACAGAGTGAGACTCCATCTCAAAAAAAAAAAAAAAAATGCTGGAGCTTCTTCAAGCAGATGTATCCTTGTGAAGCAGGAAGCTTACTGGGACTATATTTATATTCACTAGGACACTTAGTTTCCTCTTGGATTCATAGTGGAGAAACAGAAAAGACGACAGACCTAGAACATTCAAAAGCCAAAATGCTACAGGGCTGCTAGGCAAAGGGAGAGACGATATCCTGTGTTAATTAATAACACCATTTCCTATTGCATTTAACAGGAAACACTAGAACAGTCATACTTCAAGTATGGTTAATGAAGAACCAGCATTTAAAAGCTGAACTTTGCACACTTTGCAAACGTAGTCACAGAATTTACCATTTTTTAAAATATTAGGACAAAGTTCTTTTTACAGAGAAATACACAGCAACACGAGACAAAGGGAGCTATGGTCTGGTGACACAGAGAACTAGGGAGCACCCACAGAAGATAAACAGGACGGGAGTGCTACAAAAAATGAAGTCAAGATCCAGCCGGACAGAAGCTCCCTGTGTCAGCATTTCCAGTGGTTGGTTTCATGTTTATCCACTCTCTACGGCATTTTTAAGAGGTTTTGTTGAAAAGAGCCATGTGGGCAAGTTAAGTTGGGAAATTCTGGATTGAGCAAATGTGATCAGGTTTCTTTATTCTTCTTCTCAGTGCTTTGTGCTAATATGTATGGAACCCAAAGCCAGGGGAGGATACAGTTGGGAGGATGCCCCAACTTATTTCAACACAAACCCCACTTTTTATAGAGCAGCCTGTGAGATTAGTACTTCATAAAACACACTTGAGAACACCTTGTCAAGATAAACTGAAAGTTTCTGTGGATTCTTACAGAGGTGAAATCGAATATTATCACTAGAATTTTGCAATTTTTAATTTATTGTATGGTTCAATAAACAGAAATAAAATAAAATTTCAGAGTATCTATTTGAACAGGGGCATCCCTATTGAAATACTTCAGCCAAGCCCCTGCTGGCATATCAGGCAAAGCAGTAAATCAGCAGCACACGTTTTGTACTGAAACACCAGGGTTCAGTGGAGGTCCTGCTGCTGGCCACACGGAAAGCCAATCACTAAGATAACATGTACTTCCAGGGAAGAAGGCTTTGATTGGGTACTCAGGCCAAGCAGATGGGAGCTCAGTCTCAAATCCATCTCCCTGACTGACCAAAAGTAGGGGGTCATATGGCAGGAAAGAAATGTAGCCATTTGGAGTCAAACAGTAACTAAAGAGGGGTAAGGAAGCAATTCTAATGAATGAGGGACCTGGTATCTCATTGCCTGGATGCCATGATCTGGTGAGCTATAGTTCTTTGAAATGTTTTGAGAGGCTTCGGGGTCCTTTACTGAGGAAAGAACTCAGATAAAAC